TTTTTTTCGGCTAAAAACGCCTTACTATACATGGTCGTTTTTTTTGGCTAAAAACGCCTTACTATACATGGTCGTTTTTTTCGGCTGAAAACGCCTTACTATACATGGTCTTTTTTTTCTTTTTACATGGTCGTTTTTTTTTCGGCTAAAAACGCCTGACTATACATGGTCGTTTTTTTCAGCTAAAAACGCATTACTATACAAGGTCGTTTTTTTCGGCTAAAAACGCCTTACTATACATGGTCGTTTTTTTCGTTTTACATGGTCGTTTTTTTTTCGGCTAAAAACGCCTTACTATACATGGTCGTTTTTTTCGGCCAAAAACTCCTTCCTATACATGGTCGTTTTTTTTTCGGCTAAAAACGCCTTACTATCCATGGTCTTTTTTTTCTGGTAAAAAACAGCTTCCTGTACATGGTCGTTTTTTTTTACACCGTAACACCAAGCCTAACCATTCATCCTTATTTACGTCTTCAGCATTCAGTCACGCTGCTTCGTTCCTTCTCCTTTCGGTCTCTTCCTTGCAGCTGTGCGCGTTGACACTCACATGCACACACTGGAGGTGGAACGGCATTTGAAAAACATTTTAACCAGGTGTCACCAATATTTTGGAGGTCGTTTCATGTACGCATGCATTGGTGTTGTCCTTGTGGGCAGATCTGTAGCCTAATGAGGGGTGGAATCGCAGAGAGGGGCGGCGTGCGCGTCGGCCACCGCATCATTGAAATCAACAGTCAGAGTGTCGTGGCGACGCCTCATGAGAGGATTGTACAGATCCTGTCAAACGCCATGGGAGAGGTATGTTGATTATTCATTTATTATTTTGCACAAGTTCTGTTCAAAAAACTGGACATTATTTATATCATTCAATTCATTTCTACAATCAAAACAATTTTGGTTGTAATGACAACGCGTGAGATGAAACGACGAGCTAAAAGATAAAGCAATACGTCTTCGGTCTCAACGAAACACATGGAACGTTGCCCTGTTTCGGTTTAAGTCAGCTTGTGCCGAGTTGGAGTTGAACGTGTTGGCCGTCTCGGTTCCAGATCCACATGAAGACGATGCCTGCCGCCATGTACCGCCTGCTTACAGCACAGGAGCAACCTGTCTACATATGAACACACCTTCACACGCCGCTTCTCCTCTCTCTTCATCCGGCTTTCACTCCTTTAAATAGCTTGCACCTCTTCGCAACCTGTTGGACATCACGCTAATTGCCTTAATCTGTACAGTGCACAACAACATGGACATCAACAGCGTAACACGTTTGTTTATTTATTATTCAGTTGAGCCACGGGCTCCCGTGATGTGGTGCAGTATGTTGGACCAAAGATAAAATCAACGGTCTTATTGTGCACATGTAGGGCGGCAAACAGAGTAAATGTTATTTTTGGTTGAATAGCTGTAATAGCTGAATGTACACTGCATAACGTTGGACCTTAATATTGTCAGGGCAACCCAAATGTTAAACAAGCATGTTCATTTCTGCGAAATAAACTGAAGGCAAAAACACACACACACACACACACACACACACACACACACACACACACACACACACACACACACACACACACACACACACACACACACAACCGGGTTTGGATGCAGTCACTATTTTAAGATTTCAGTTCAGTTTGATTGACTCCATAAACCGGTATCTGGACTCAGATTCATGCTACTTGGGAGTATTAATGATTCCTTTGACAGTGAACACAAACACTCCTCTAGTAACAAAACCAAAACACTGTCATACATATTTAACGTAAACAAAATATTTATTTGAAATCCCCCAGTGCTGACAACAAAAACTAAAAAAAAAAAAAAAAAGAAAGAAAAACATACACTTAAAAGAAACTAACAAGCCACCATGATTGTCTTCACCCCATACCATCGATTGATTTGACTTGAGAGAATATACATCACATCAACATCATTTGTCTGAAGCTTGACGACAGAATATAAATGTTGTTCCCAGAAATCCGACCCAAACGTTACTTTGACTCAAGATGGTCAAATCTACGTTCCAGCGTACAGTACTTAATCCACTGGCACCAGAAAAAAAGCAAACTTTTTTTTCCCCAAGAAAAATATTATTAAAGTTAAAAAAATATTTCAGTGTTTTTGTCATCTTTTGCAGCTTTTCACTTTGTGACCTACAAGCTATAAATATTTATGAGACTCTTTCATTGACAAAAGGGACACATGCTTCCACAGCAACCGAAGCAGATGTGAAAAAGGGAAATGATGTCAAACTACTCCCGATTTTCTGGGTGCCGACCATTATGAGCGCCTGATGCTCAGTCCATTATCTGCAGTCACTGTACGATGTATTGATTTTCAACCCGCCGTCTAAGACAAGGCACTTGAGCATGTGCTGTTTTCCCCAGTACGCAGTGTCCTCCAATGTCAAGGTGGGGAGCCGTACACAAGAAATCACACGACTGACCTTAGTGTCGAACTATGTGGAAGAGCGCTGCTATTCAAGGGAACATAGAAACTGACAAACAATGGCTCTGATTTGACAAAATGCGACAATCAAATTGCCTCATTTCTCTTAATTTTGATTGCCATACAATACACTGTATATATGTGTAAAAAACAAAACAAAACAAAAAACAAATAGAGAAAGGTCAACGGCTAGCTACATAAAGAAACAATTTCTTGTCCTGGCAGTGGCGTGTAGGTCACCAGGTCCAATTATTTTTACCAAATCAGGCGCTTGACTCTGACCTGAAGTAATTGCATGAGAGCAACGCTAAATACATACAGAGAAAAATAGTGATGAATAACCAAGGACAGGGGTGGAAGGGGGAGGGGGGCAGGTGGTTGTGCATGGGTCACCTGGTTTGTCAACACACGCTAATGTAAATGTGTCTGAGCTTGACATGCACTAGGAAGCGCAAGCCAAAAAAAATCACGAGAGGTTTTCGCGGTGAAGCTGCGTCGGTCCAGCGCCTTTCCTCGGCCGGAAGACAAAAGCAGTGTGGAATCTTGATTACAGTGGCTCCTTTTTGGGGACTACAACTCAGTGTCCTTGTATTTCTGGGGGTTGTAGTAGCCCCTCTTGGCGTGGTCTGCCAACTGCCTGCGGTACTCGGCGTCGTCGCCTTCGTGGGCTCCTCTCTCAGAATACTGCTGCCGAGGTGGAGTCTGCGGCTCTGGAATGGAGCTGGAACTGATCAAGGCACAAACACGCTCGCGGTCAGTCACGGAAGCTCTTCGGCTTCATCGGCCGAATGGAGGCTGCTTATTTCTGACAATGGAGCGGCGAGCTCACCCGATTGGCTGAGGACGGTTGAGATTGGGTTTGGGCAATTTGACCGGGATTGCATAGATGTCCGGGTGCTTCTGGGCAATTTCCAACTGCGGGGAGAGAGGAACAAGGCCCAGATATGTCAGAAGTACTTTAAGGAAGAGAAAAAAACAAAAACAAAAAAACTACAACGAGTTCCTTCTGGATCAATCTTTTTTTTTTTTTCCTTTTTAAAGTACAGTCGAACCCTGTTACAACGTACCACGAGAATCTGTAAAAAAAAAAAAAAAAAAAAAAAAAGCGGCCATGTATACTAAGGCGTTTTTTAGCGAAATGGATTTAATGCAATGTGACTGAGTGGTGTCACTGTCACTCAAGAGCAGCGCTCGTGATATGCACGGCGCCTGTGCGGGGGCGTGAAGTGAAAAATTGATTGAGGCCCTTTATTCCTTCAATTATATTGAGTATCGATCATACAGCGACTAGAAATTCATCTGCCCGTCTTGTCTATAGGATCCTTATTTCGTCAGGTGTTTTTTTTTTGGGTGGGTGGACCTTGAACTGCACATGACTGCTCAGCACTGCTCCGTTGTTTTTGCGGTCTTCTTTCCTATCTAAATGCTGACATCATCGAAACAATTGTCCCTCCAAAACAATGGAAAAGTGACACCAATGCAGCGGGAGGATATACAAAGAAATTTATGAGTTGGTATTATGAGATGAGCTTACGTTTTATAGCTGCTCAGTTACCCCGGTAACATTTCCCCTTGACTGTCCCCGTTGATGACATTACAAAGCAGTCTGTCTATACAAAATATATGCCCTGACTGGCCATCATGGCAGTTTAAGAGCCAGACCGCCCGAAAAAAACCCGCAGTATAGGCAATCCAGAGACATATTTGTAACATGGCGATTAAAAAGTCCATTTTCCACAATGTGTCCCCTTTAAATGAAGACGATCTTCTGAAAGTAAAACAAATAGCCCGGCTACATTCAATTGGGCCTCATCCATAAGCGTCACTGGAATATTACGCATTGATTGAAGTCTTAATAAGAACAGTCGATTAGCCATTTGACCTCAGCCAGGGACTCGTATTGTGTTGGTTACGAAACGACGACGTTGCGGCGGACAGTAAAAGATGCTTCGGATAATTACGGTGGTTTCGGCCTCTGCGCGTCCACTTTTCTCTCATAAAAGGTGAATTTTAGTGTCAAATCTACCGACGGGGGGGTGTTCAGCGAAGCGGAGGCAACAAAATGATGAAAACGCTTTCGTAAGAGGAAATAACGACCCTTCTTGACTGAGCGCAATGCTCTATGCTTTCTTTTATGTCATTAACGCATACACTTTGTGAAAAGCTATTTGTAGTTGTCACTGAATAGTTATGTCAGTGGAGGGAATAAATAAATAAATAAATAAATAAATATGTATATGTATATATATAATCCTCGTCTCACGGCCAGCTCATTGTCGGTGTAAGCCCCGCCCTCATCCGCCGTGTCGTCGTAGTCGCTGGTCAGACGGCTGTCCATGCTCAAGTAGTCTGCGCTCATCGCCGACAAGTAGGACATTCGGTCATCGTGGAGATCGAGATCCTCCTCCGAACCATCCAACTGTCAACAGGAAGCGATGAACGGTACAGCGTCGGCATTTGTGGTAGATTTCAGGGATTTTGCTTCAAACATGCCTTGTGCTCCTCGGGCCCTTTTGTGGCTCACAGCACGATTTGCGGCCCCCGACGAATTACTCATGGGCTACCATGTCTGCTTTCGGTGAAACGTAATCCTCAAGTGACACCAATCGGAAGGAAAAGATATCCCCTCACCCAGTCTGAGTCACGTCTTTTTTTTTTTTTTAAAACCTTCCGTTAAGAGAGGAAACCGCCCAGTAAATTTTTTTTTTTTTTTTTGTTGAGCACGGGAGCACCTTGGCAGGTCTTGAATGCACAAAGGAAGTCACAGCGCTCAAAAGAATCTGACGTCATCCCTCATTAGACATGCTGAGGAGGACGTTAATGTCCCGAACTGTTACTCCGAAAGAGTGAGTGGATTGGATTAGTTGTACTTTTACTTTGAATACTTGTACCCTTTTTGTACCCTGATTCAGAGTGGCCAAACAATGCAACATGAAATGAAACACGATGCAGCTGTTGGGCTGTCGGACTTACCTTGCCCTCGCATACCCAAACAGCTCGGTCTTGCTGCTCCCGAATTGAATCTTTCACGCTTCCGTACCACGCGTCGTTGGCCGAGTTGAGGTCGATTGTGTCTGAATGACAATGAAAAGGAACACGCATTAAAAGGAGTACAAATTGGCCAAGGTTCCATTTAGCAAACAAATCCAACGCTCAAATGGCTTTTATCATTTGGAGGAGGGAAACATC